GCTAACACCCAAAGCAAAATCTGTATACATTTTGAACTACTGCAAAGCTGTTCAAAGTTCAAAAATATTTGACCCTGAGATGCCTTCACATAAAGCCTCACTAGGAAATTCTAATTGTGCTTGGAGTTCACAGATGTGGGTAAGCCACTTCTCATTAAACTTTTAGAACTCCATGAACCCCTTTAACATGCATTTTCAAATGTAAATATAAACACTGATGAGCTTGTGAAACTTTGGTTCATTCTCCTCCAGAAGAGAGAAAGTACAACCAGAAAAGGAAGCAGCCCATTGCTGGTTTTGTGTTGGTTTTTTTTTTTCTTATATGATATATGCTTAATCCCATATAAATTTGTAGAACCTACTGTAATTAACCAGTTTGTGACTTTGGTTCTTTTACTCAGTAGAAAAACATCAGGATTTCACTATTAATGACGCATTTTTAGATAAAGTGGGCAAAGGAAGAGGAAACAGTGACAAAAAAGCCCTTGAAAGCGTTGAGTATCTTTTTACTGAAAGACGACAAATACAAGTGAGCCATTAATAGTGGCAAAGATACAGGGGGTGGGGAAGATGGCAATCAGCCTTTTCATGTTTTATTCATTCTTAGGTAAGAAAGTCTTACCGTCTGTCCGGTTTCTGCCTTTACTAATATAACCAGAGAACACCCATTGGATATACCCACTCTCAAATTGCCAGCTCAATTATTATTTCAGTTCTGACACACTGACAACCAACTCTAGCACTTACAAAGTTGGAATTTTCTGGTCTGCAAGCAGACAAAACAGATGCCTTAAGGCAGAGATATTCAATATGTAGGCCACCTGGAAAATTCATCCTATCTACTCCTACCAGCTTTTTACCAGCAAGGAGTTGCCTGTTAAGACACATGATGACAATGCAATATTGAGCGTACTTTATGTACTTTATTGAGTGAATTTATGGAGAAGGTCCAGCCATGTTCTCAGATCCTTCTTGCCTTCAGCACAAGCTACATGCTCAACTCAGCCATAATGCTGGATCTGTTTCCAAACTGAGTATCTGTACTAAATGCTGATTTGTAGCATGAACTTATATAAAATATTAATTAAATTTTAATAAAAGAAGACTTAGTGAGTAGAGAATCACTGCTTTTAAACCTATTAGCTAAGTTTAACAGGCACCTATAACAGCACAGTAAAGTGTATATTATGGAACTCAAACATCTTTATCATTGCTCTTCTATCAGGTGGTCCAGATGGATTATTGGCAAGAACTACAAATCACCTGTGAAAACTTCCAGATTTATCCAACACAAAGAGCTCTGAGATAATCTGCAAAGTACAGAATGGATCAGGAAGAAATACAGCCACAGTACGGTGGACAACGGACAAACAGAATCATCATGTCTTGTTCAGATCATTGTTTTTCTAAATTAGGGCAGTCCAATCTTATCAACCACAGAGCCCACTCCTTTTTGCAAGAGTCTCCTCACATACCATTCTAAGCTTGCTGTCTGCTTTCGAAGTGAACAACCATATGAAAGCAGAGAAGTCTTCTGTCTTTGGGGAGAAAAAAATGGTAGGTCAGATGGAATGATGCTGAATACAGCAGTTCGCAGGCTGTGAGACTAAACTAACCTAAAGTAGTGATTTAACAGACGTGGATATGAGCTCAGCTGTGTTACTTACAGTCACCAACAATTCTTAAAAACTACTTGTATAAATATTTGTGTAATTAATCCAACCTTAAAACCATTCAGACATTGTTACTTATACAGCACAGTAAAATTTCCAGTGTACAAGAAGGGTGGCATGATCAAACCTCAAGCACATCTCAAGCACAATTCAGACTCAGATATCCTGTAGGATTAGTTTTAATCTAAAGTTTTTCACTTACTTCAACATCACAGTCAGTTCTCTCTGCTCATTTTCTTCCTGTACCTGTCACTGTGCTCTGCATTTACTGAACAACTGAAATCACACTTTTTCTTTCTTTTTTTTTTTTTTTTACTATTGGCCAGAAAGATAGCACATCTACCAGAACAGATCTGCATGTATTTTAAGGCTTACATTAATATACCTATACAAGCATGTTTTAATCACTCATCATTTATACAGAAGACAACACTAAACAAGGAAATACTAATCTATTAAAAAATAGTTTTCTCATTATTGTGCTCTCTTTCTCCTCTCTTACTCCTCCCACACTCTCTGGGGTATACATTCTGAAATTTCACGCATACCATAAAGTATCTTTGGAATGTTACAGTATAATTGTTTAGAGAAACATTTAATGGATGAGTAAGCATCAAGAGGCCATGGCTAAGGGAAAATAAAAGTTAAAATGCTAGAAGCATTTTGCATCGAATGATCTTCTCAGCGTGAGGACAGGGGATGGACATTTGATCCAGAGATCTGGTACTGACTCAAGTGATGTAAAACCAGCAGCCAGCACCAAGGCACGTGAAGCCATCCAACCTCCTAACAAAACATTTACTACCACCCACCTCTTTCAAACTGGACTTTAGTCACTGTATAGTAAAGCAATGAAATGCTAAAGGATATGATTTGATTAATAACATGAATATTATGATAGGAGATTACAAGATCTCAACAGTTGGCTAATTATCCTTTTTAACTGGTTGCTTGGTTTCCCAATTTACAGCACAAAAAATTTACATGCGCGTGATAAAGAAATGCAGCAGAAGCAACTGGAAAAAAAGCTGGGCACTGAGTATAGACAGAGCTAAAAAAAGCTGGACATTCTTTCACTACAGGAAACTGCTGGAGACAATATGCTGTAAATTAAAGCCAATTTTCCTGAATTCCCTGAAGGACCGCTCCTCCCAGAGATTCTACAAAACCATTTGCAAAGGCCCATCACTGTAGTTTTCCTGGGGCTTATTTACTGAAGAGATTTTTTTTAAAAGCATATCCAAAATAAAATACATGCTGTATCAGGAGCAGGGGAGTGGGACAAATCAGGCCTAACCTTACATAATTGATTCACATCCTGATTATTAGAGAACAGCTGATAGGGTTTTTACTCCCAATTCTTCCTCCTCCCCATAATTTTTAAGTCATGGAAAAGCAAAATAATTACCTTCCTACCTGAATTTCTGATCAGAAGAATGGACACTGAGGCAGGAGAGGTGGCATATGCTGACGTGCTCTGCTCTAGAAATCAAACAGATCTTTTAGCACCAGAGTTAGAAAAGCCAAGCTTCCAAACTTCAAGCACTGTGACACAGCTGAAGCTTGTCTGATGATTGGGCACCTAAAATCTCTGACCAAGTGGATTCTGTGGAGCTTAACAACATATGAATTGCAGCTGGTGCTGCACAATCTGTCCTAGCTTCATACTTCCACAGAATTTTCAGAAATCTAGTGTCTTTGAGGATCTTCTATTTCTGCATTCAATCTGGTAGAGAACAGGTAACAATTTAAAAAAATGAATTAGGAACACATAAATAGTGTGCTTCTATAAATGTCATCTTATTAATAAACTCACAGACAAGTAGCACAAGTTCTGCTATGCAGCTTTCTAGTTCCAAACCCCAATACATTTTCCAAAATTCCTCATCTATTTGTAAAATGTGTGAATCTAAATCATATGTAAAAATAATGGATTACATATGCTGCTTGATTAAGTCTTTAAGAGATATTTGTAGGCACATGAAATTGCAAGAGACTTCCTAGGTCACTGTATTTGTATCCTACCATCAGAAACACTATATTAAATAACCTCTTCCAAAAGACACACATCCCCCTCTTAAAATGGGTTTTCTTTTTCATATCCCTACCTAAATATTCTCAGAATTAGGATATTTCTTTTAATTTCCAGTTTAATTCATTAAAGACCCCATCCAGCAGCCACTCAGACAAAACACTTCAGAATGTGTAGGACAGAAAAACTTCAGGATGTAAAAACCTTTCTCTTCTCTTCAACAATACAGTAATACAGATGTTGGTGTCAGATAAATTCACTGGTTTAAATCCATTCTTTTTCTAATGCAATACTCAAAGGCAAATCCAAATATTCCATGTGTAACTTTGTCTGTAACAACTTTCACTTTGTGAATTATAGGGAACCGTAATACCACTGCTGACTTTAGAACAAGGTCTATAGATTAGTTCTTGTGTTACAATGACCATAGCAGAGCCTGTAAGTATGTCTTTGGGGCTTAGGGTAAAGGGGAACACAACACAGTTTACAACGAAGTCTAACAAACAAGGGTATGTTAATCTTTCCAGCCACTTAAATCCAGGAAAATCAAAAGCAAATGTCTTCTTACCATAGCATCACAAAATCCAACCCCAAATACTTGCATCTTAATGCCTGCTGGGATGTTTTCCGCTAACCATCCATTAGATTTCTTATAATACTCAGCACACACATTCCTCCACAAGCTGGATTGATTTCTTCCACAGTTTAACTTGTTTTTGCCAAAGTCTCCTTTAGTTCAGCATTGGCCGCCTGCCTAACGAAACAACCTTTCTTTATGCCAAAACTGTCATCTTCAGTTGCGCAAGACTCATCTTACTTACAAACATGTGTAAGGAGCCCAATGTTTAATGCTTGTAGAATTGCTATTATAAAATTATATCTAGCAAAACAACAGAAGCAGAAGAGGTCAGTACTTCACCTTGGAGGGGGAGGGAAATCATTCTTAAGAAAGATTTTTTTAATCCTTTTGCATTTAAATACACCTTTTAAAAAGAAAACCTTAAGCTAATTATTAGATCATGAAAGCATATGCATTTAACCAGAGACAGCACGGAGAAGTGTGAGGCTTACTATGAACCTGAAAGCTTCGCTCTCACTCTGTGTGAAGTCATCATGACATAATGATCAAGCACACCATAAACTTGTCTCTTACTGAAAAGACTAGCCTTAAATATAAGAATCTGATAACCTTAGTAAGCTATCAAGTATTGCCAATGACTGGAAAAAGTCTACCTAAATAAAACTTCTGCTCTATTTTTCTCCTGTAATTTGAGTCACAGTTGAAATAAGAATACCTGTGTAAGAAGTTGTTCTTCAGTCAGATTATTGATCCAACGAGTATACCGTTCAGTAGACTCTGATGGCTCTCTTCTGACTTGGCAACCAATAATCTAAAGCAAAATGAGAAAAATCACATACTGTAAACTGCTGTACACCCACATGGCAACAGTATCATAAAATAAGCTTTCAAAACATGGGAACTCCAAGAATTAAGATTATCTATACAGTCCCTATTAGCCCCCTTCTATGTTTAGAATAGAATAGAATAGAATAGAATAGAATATGTAACATAACATTAACATAACGTTAACATAACTTAATGTCACAGTCACTCTGCTCCAATGTTAAATAGCTACAGACTTTAAAAGGTCTCTAAGGAACTAACATTGAGAAGCATCTTTCCAATAGCTTAAGTCATGGGAATATTTTAACCTTTTTGTTTGACGTTTTCAAAGGAAAGTCATCCAAAGGCAGACATCTAGAATGTAAAATTTCAACCAAAATAAAGTTTGGCAAATGAAAATTAGAACTTGGATAACACCAGACAATCATATCAACAGTGCCATAACCTATAATACTGCACGTTACTTATAATTCATATAAAATAGGGAAAAAAAAATCTGTATTCTGATTTGTCTCATTCACAGTAGAACAATGTAGACATCCCATTTTGATTTGTACTGTATACCCATTTGAGCAACATTTTCTTCTCTAATACCGTTCCGTAGCTGTATGTTTTAAATATGAATTTTAATATTCTGAACACCTATTGGCATAATAAATAGCTTCCAATATGCATTAGAAGGATTTCATAATATCTGAAACTGCATAGACACATATTAATACACTTTCTTACAAACCGTTTACTCCACAAATCTGTGGTTGGACAAGGATGAAGCCAAGCAGAACTCGAGGATTGCGATTATACAGAACTCTGCTGTTCGCTGCTCCCAATAGTCTTCAGTTTACCCGAAACCTTTAGGGTACTACAGGATTTCCTTATATATGCAAAGTAAGCTGATACTGTTTTATACCATAAACTACACTCCTGTCATACTATAACACATACTATAACTATAACCTTCTATTTCTCTTCCAGATTTTGATGGATATTCCCTGTTGAGGATGTGTTCATTCATGAGGAATTAACACCAAAGTGTAGGTATTAGTATTTCTGAAAACTAATTTCAGATAATTTCAGATAATCAAGTCTTGTTAAGGAACAGTGAGAAAAACTTGGTCTATTTTCCACCCTAAGCATTCATAAGGAATGTAAGTGCACACACTGCGCACAGCAAGTTTAAATCTTTCAGGTGCCTCTGTTTACAGAGCTTTAAACCCCCCACAGATGTAAGCAGGCAGGCTAGAATTCTGCACGTGCAGTTATGAATACTTTTGAAGTGGGAACAAAAACACCGTGAAGAGATCTTGCTAGGGGACTGCTGGCAATGAAACATCATAATTTAGAGTATGATTAAATACAATCAAAATAACAAACACGAAAAAAACCCCATGATTTGCTTATCCCATAAGAATAAAACAATGTCTCTGAACTATAAAATTTTTCCTCAATGACAACTATGAATAACCGTAACTTCAATCCTTATCCTAACTTTCTCCTGAAGTACAGCTAAGTAATACTAAAACATTTTCAGAAGATTGACCTAAAATTCTTTTAAACTGAATACCAATTAGAAGAGTTCATAGATACGTTTTAAAGGCAGCACTCCACAAATACAAAAACTTCACAGAAGTTGCATTAGATTTATGTATATTCTGTTATATATACGTATGCATATTCTGTTCTGTGGGAATGATTTTTATTTAAGAATAGAACCATATACAGAACTCTTCCTACTCTTCATTAACCAAGATCTCATTAACCTTCTCTTGCATATCCTAGGATTTAGTAACTTACAAAGACAATTTACAAATCTATGCATGAAAATCAGAATGGAAAAATTACAAAGCACTTTTTTATTGAAAGGTATTCTGTAAGAATATAACACGGAAATTTAGTTTCTTTATTCAAACAGTCACAGCCTAAGATGAACAAATACAGAATCACAAACACTTTTTACAGGGTCAGAGATAAAAAGGAGAATCTCAGGTTTGTTTTTCTGAAAACTTGGTTTTCAACTAGAGCCAAGAAGTTAAGTGTAAGTCATCTCTTCCTATGCAATCTGAAATTTAAATGAGAAGCAGAGGACAGACTTTCATATTTTTATATGAATTTCTAACCAGTCTGACCATTTTCATAAATGCTGTTGATAGTTTAAACAATCGAAAAAATGTTGAATCCAGGTGGTCAGCTAAAGGACTGTAATTCCCTAAAGTCCCTAAAGAACAATTGGTTCAGATCTCAACTCCTTATGCTTCCAGAGAAAAGTGAATGGGTTTGATCAATTATCTGTACATTCAACACAACACAACAATCACCTGACAATTCCTTTCTTTAAAAGCAAAGGAACAAAAAAAGCCATGGTTGGTGTTCTTAGTGGCCTTTTCTAAGATTTCCATGGATGTACCAAACCCAGCAGCAGGGCACATAAAAGCAAGGATCTCCCTCCTGCAGAAGATGGTATTGTGAGACATCATTTAATGATATTCTTTAATTCTAATGATATCATGGCAAAATACACTTAATAATAAATAAATAAATAAATAAATACATGTTACAGAGAACAGCTGCATTTTGATCTTGCAAAACAGCAGGAAAATAATGACAAATGCATAACACAGCATTTTGTAAGAAGTGAAATGTTTGCACTTCCCTCTACCCTAACATAACAGTGAAATTCAGAACCATTACCACTCAAGACTGCTTTTAGCATCATCTTAAGAGAGATGTTTTCCAGACAAATCTTAACATTGTCACTATGCAGTCAAATCTATTTCTAGATTCTCAGCCAAAAAAAATCCACAGCTTTCTGCTCTTCAGTTGTATCATTCCTCTCCCAATGGGACTTTCAATTCATGATTCGGTGGGATACTCAATTTATATGGTTGTAAGACAAACATCACCAACAGAGTAACTCCACCTGAGCCTTTGATACAGCTTCTGTAAAGCTCATTTAAGCAGCTTCTTTCATCCAATCCCAATCAGGATTATTTAGAGTACGAATGGCTTCCTCCACTTCCCCTGTGTAAGGTGTGGCAGCAGAAGCAATTGCACACTGCTTCCCATTTCCTCCATGTCTCACAGAGCTGTTATATTCACTTCACTCAATGCTTCCTTATAGCTTTTAAATTGAAGTGAAAGGTTTTTCACTGTTGTTTCGTTCCTCAGTTCTAAAATACTTAGATAAAAATCTTCCTGGCCTATTTTACACTCATTCAGAATTCCAGAAAATAAGACTCTCTCTGTATTAAAAACATTATCACAGAATACTAGGAGTTGGAAGAGACCTCGAAAGATCATCTAGTCCAATCCCCCTGCCAAAGCAGGAAGAATATCACAGAATATTAGGAGAATATTCTTTACACTATTCTGAGATTCCATTTCTACGCAAAAATTGAGTTCATCCAAGTTTCAACTTTTTGATCTAATTATGCAAGGTTTTTTTTATATTACAAATGCTAACTCTATACTGGCATATACTTGTACCTAGATAAAACTATGTAATATATACAATAAATGCAATACACTTCATATTCCAACTGGAAACTTGCTGTAATGCAGTATGAATAGTAGTTGTATAGGAAGCAGCACTATATGCTGTAAATACTTTTCTGGCTCATAGCAAAGGTCTGTGGCAGTTCATGGCAGAGCAAAACTAAGTAGGAGAGAAAATCATGACAACCCCTTCTGCTACAACATCAGATGAGGTAATTCACTTTCTAGACAGACAATTACTTTATTTATGTATTAAACGTAACTTGTAGTTTATTTAGCTATTTACTTAATTGCAATCAGCACTGGTGTCTTGGGAAAGAAATACAAAATAATTTATAACTTTTGGCAGCGAGAGACAGGAATGGGTATGAATATTAAGAGCATAAATCAGTTGTACCTTAACCACCAACAAATATATACACTGAAAAGCCATACAAGAATATAAATGCCTTAAAATAAGCTTTGTGGGAAGGAGTGACTAAAAGTAAGCATCCAGCTTATGGCCCTATTGTCCTTCCTGGCCTCCAGCTACGCTTCACAGAAGAACCAGGCTTCTGGCATCTGCCAGTCCTGCCTAGACGTTCTCAGACAGCCTAAGGTCTCAAAAATAGGATCACCTGTCTGGTTTTAGGCACCTAAATCTTCTCTAATAACTCTACCACTTCACATGATTAGGAGTGGAATTAATGAACTGCATCTAAATAAGATTATCAGAATCGAAGTCATGGATATGTACTTTATGCCACTACATTTAAAACATTTTCAGGAGTTAGGGCACTTTAATGCAATAGAACTATGATACAATTTAAAAAGTAAAAATAATATAAAACTAGAGTAACGCGGCTCTCCGTGAAACAGATGCTCTAAATTGGTCACAGTACACCGGGTTACCCATCATGTATGAAACAGAAATCTAATGAGCACGTTCAATACTACTTCAATATGAAGTTCAGAGTTACGATTACAACTCTGACGAGTTATGATCACATTAATCATCATATAACTATTATCATAACAGTTACAAACTCAGAGGAACTAGGCAGGACTATTATATACATTTCAAACTTGTACTATGAATGCATATAGTCACTGTTCTGTGAGTTATAAAACTGTTCCACTGAAGTCCTATATCTGATATGTACAAAAATCAGCATTCTGTACCAAGCAGCAACATCAGCCATCTGCTTACATGCCATAACTTGTTCCAACTTTTCACTGATGTTTGTTTTCAAATGTAGTATTCAGGTAAAGATATTTCTTACTGTCATCATTTTAGGGTTTTATATTTTATCTTGCACATATAAATGGAAAAGGAAGTGGCTGAGAGGAAGCAAAGATTAAATGAGTTGACAGTCATTAAAAACAACGCACTTTCTGCAGATGTGGTGCTTTTTTTTTTTAATCACGACAACTTCCTCTAGCACGAAGAATCTTTCTTATTCAGGAGACAGCCCATGGGTCAGAACCCTCCTGTTGCACTAAAGAGGAAATGAG